ACAAAATCTTTCGAGGTGTTAGAGTCTGTGCTGTGGATAACTTCCAGGGAGAGGAAAATGACATAATTTTGCTTTCCCTCGTGCGAAGCAACGAAGATGGCAAAATTGGTTTCCTGCAGATAGAAAACCGAGTTTGTGTAGCGCTGTCTCGAGCGAAGAAAGGTTTTTTCTGTATTGGTAATTTCTCCCTACTCGCGAAAAAGAGTTTGTTGTGGAACAAAATTATCAACGACATGAAAGACTCAGGAAATGTAGGAGATGCTTTGATACTCACTTGCCAAAACCATCCGCAAAACGTGATCCACGCTTCAGTTGCAGACGACTTCGAGAAAGCACCCGAAGGAGGCTGCACCCTACAATGTGCCTCTCGACTCCAGTGTGGTCACGTGTGTGATTTGATGTGCCACCCCATAGACCCTGATCACGAAGAATATCGGTGTAAAAAGCCTTGCACCAAAACACTTTGCGATCTGAATCACAAGTGCCCTAAGAGATGCTTCCAAATATGCGGGCCTTGTCGGGAACCCTTAGATAAGATCCTTCCTGGATGTGGTCACTTCCAGAAAGTTCCTTGTTACCTCTGCAATGATCTCACTCAAGTTGAATGCCAAACGCCCTGTAAAGTGATTTTAAAATGTGGACACGAATGTGCTGGTAAGTCTGTTAAAAACCATGGTTACCTATAGAAGCAATTCTACAAGTTTCAAAACGTTTCTGTGCATAAAGGTGGTTAATTTGTTTCAGTCAAGTTGAAATAGGTTTTCATTTAATTTGCGGGAGATGCGTAGGACTTTTTAAATACCCGATAGCACCGATAAGGCTTCGAAGTCGTTTTTCATTGTTTTGAAATGACGAACTTGTTTCATTGGTTTGCTCTAAGCGACAAGTTTTCGAATTTAGCGCATTAGTTTCTTGTAACGGGAATACAATTTCTGGGGCTTAATGTATCAGGATGATTATGGGTCCTAGAGAGAATGTAAACAGTTCGGGATGATTGGATAGTGACAATTACAACTTCACACATTCACTGTGAACCCGCTGATTCCTATTTCTCTATGTTCACTAAGGTGATTGCAGTGGTTGTATAAGCAGTCCAGTCCACATACCTTGCACAAATGATTGTCGCCGATTACTATTCTGTGGGTACACATACATGCTCTAGGGCGTGCGCCAGGATCTGTCCACCATGCACAGTAAAGTGCATCAACTATTGCGAACACAACGAATGCAGTAAGAAGTGCAGGGATCCTTGCGATCCATGTGAAAAGAAATGCGTTTGGCGATGCCAACATTATGAGTGCACAAGTCATGCAGCGAACTTTGTGATCGCCCTCGTTGCAATGAACCTTGTACAAAGCCTCTTCCGTTGTGTGATCATCCTCGTTTTTAAATTCTTACCCAATGTTTTCACATTCTATGCAGGTAGTTGCAGTGATTGTTTACGCGGTCGAGTTCACCAACCTTGTAAGGCAGTGTGTGGCCGCATACTGTTTTGCGGACATAACTGCTCTGAACCCTGTACTAAGAATTGTTCGCCATGCAAGGAAAAGTGTGGTAACTACTGCAAGCACAGAAACTGCAAGAAGAAATGTGGCGACCCCTGCGAACCATGTAACGAGAGGTGTGTTTGGCAGTGCCCTCATTACAGGTGCAAAAACTTGTGCGGCGAGTTATGTGATCGCCCTCGATGCAACAGGCCATGTCCAAAGCGCCTTCCATGCCTTCATCCTTGCATTGGTCTCTGTGGGGAACCATGTCCAAAGAAGTGCCGAGAGTGTCATAAGGACGAAGTCACAGAAATCTTTTTCGGTACCGAAGACGAACCAGACGCTCGATTCGTTGAATTGGCGGACTGTGGTCACGTGTTCGAAGTGGAAATGATGGATCTGTGGATGGATCAGACCGACTTAACGCAGGGTGGGAAGCCTGTTGATGTTCAACACAAGCTCTGCCCAAAGTGCAGGGTTCTGATTCGTACCAGCTTAAGATATGGCAACGTTGTCAAGAAGATCCTCGCGGAATTCGAGAAAATTAAGGGGAATACTTCCTCCTTTGAAATACCTCGAGGTCAAGAAGTAGAGAGTCTGTTATTTGCACTACAAGGAATTGAGCAGTTTCCCGAAGACCGTGATAGCATCAAGGTATTGCTAGGTCAGGCAAATCATGCGGCTGAAGCACTCGATGTGATAAGGAACCAGATCAGCCTTTTGTCTTTTCTCCAGACCCTTAAAGCCAACACGCACCGTCAATTTGAGAGAGAAGACCTTCCGCGGGAGATGAAGGAGAAATTCGATCGTAAAGTGGAACAACTCCGAGATCGCGTCATGAAATTAAACTACCGAACGCTCAATTCTCAGCAATTAGAGGAGCTTAATGAGGAAATGCATAGAACGCAGCTTCTTTTTGATTTTAGATTGCTGATAATGCAGCTGGAAATCAATGGAGTTGATCTGAGTATTATTGATAGCTTGATGAAAGAAGAACTGGACTCAGAAAGGAAGATTGGTAAGAATACAGTTATGTTTACAGTGCAGTATGATAATACGATTTCGAGCAGTTCTGTGGGATGAAACATTTAAGAACATGCAAAGGTCGAAAGGAGGGGGAATGGACTACTAAAGTTTTTCTTTAATGGTCTTTGCTCAACTTTTCTTCTCAAAATGTATGAATGAGCATATATTTCCTTTAGATAGGAAAAGGTGAGTCATCGCAAACGGTGACTTGTCCACCATAAATTGTCGTCGTATTGTGAAAAGCGTACTGTTCGCGGTACATTCGTTCTGTAACGTAATTGATCACGTTTGAAAACGTAAGGGCTTTGTATTGGCAGATGAAAAATGAAGTGTTAGTTATGATAGGTCGACCGTTGAGTGGCAACTGTTGGGTATCTAGGTGTGGCAAAGTAGTGTGCAGTTTACCCCACCTTTACCATTGCACCATCATTTTGTGATTTTCGAAACAAAATTTTTCCATTAAAAAGAAAAGGTTTTATAGACAGTTTGTAATTTATCAGATTCGTGCGAAAACGTGTCGACTAATGCTAAGGAAATTTTCAGGCAAAGCATTTCGAGATCGATACACTGCTCGTATACAACGTATAAGACGGGAACAAAACCTTCAAGCTTTTAAACTGGCGATTTTAAGGGACGAACAAAGTGTGATTGTTAATTCAAAGTGTCTGGCACAGCCTCGTTGGCTCAAGTGTCCAAGAGGTAAGTTTTATTTATAATTATTTGTTTGGTAAAATTCATGGAATTGTACTGGTCCCGAGATTAGGATTTAGACTCTCTTTTTTCACTTATTTATACCAAGGTTTGGTGTATTTTCTTAAGAACCCATTACTTACTGGAAAGTTATAACCAGCTCATCGTCCAAAGTAATAGCGGCAGGGCGGCATAGGAGCTGTCTAAGTACAGAAAATTAACAACGGTTTTCAATCTTTTCTTTAAAAAAATGTCTGAAGGGCTAACTTAACAATAACACCAGCCTTTTTTACAAGTGAATCTCATTGATTTTTGAAATTTTATTCTCACTTTGAAGGTCACATCTGGATCACAGAGTGTGGCCTGGGGATAGACGAAAGTAAATGCCCGGATTGTGAAAAGGATCGTAAGGAACATCATGCAGATGTAACAATCACAGGGTAATCAATATAGTAACCCTAATTTGTGGATGAGGCTCCGCAACTTCGATTTTTATACAGCAAATTCAGATGTGAGCTGAGCATGAACTAGAGGAAGCTCTATTACTAGACCTCCTTATCGAGGATCTTTTCAACTCAAAATATGGTGTCAAACTAGCTTTTCAATTGAAGCATTGCAGCCATAGTTTCCAGTAATTAAGAAGAAGTTTTGAGTCGAAACTGTAACCACAGTTGATTTCTTTGTGATACCTGGTCACCTGGCCATAAGGCTAGCTTAAAAATTCATTGATTATTTTGTATCGTAGCTAGTGGATGGTACTTCTCTCGAAGAGTTTCAACTCAGCCTTCGGAGAACTGAAATTTTTTTAAGGGGATTGCCCAGCTCAGTTTCATATACAGAGATTTAACACAAGGTCATAGTATGTTTGGGGGGAGGGGGGATACTCCTTAGAAAAATCGTTTTATAGTGGAAAATTATTTATAACATAGCGCACGTGCTTGCCTTATATAAGTCCTAGTGAAATCTTTATTTACGTACGACCGTGCGTAAATAAGATGACTTGAGCATTTTTTTACCTGGCTTCAGAGTTTCCGTCCTGTTTAGCTGCGGTGCAGTTTTCCTTCTCTTTGAAATATGAAAGAAACCAGCGAAGAACTTCCCAATTTTTCTATCGGCATGGACCTTTTAGGTCCTGATCCAACAAGCAACAAAAATAAAGCCGAAAAAAACTCACAAGTTGCACGTTTCGCAAATTTGTCAAAACCCTGATAACTTCGGGTCTTTGACTTTTAATTTGGCTTTGATTTTCTCCATTTTCCCCGTAATTTTTGAGCATTTCATTCACAGTTATCGGTTGACTGGATCAAATGCTCCCGCTCAAACCAAAGTATAAAATGTAGCGTGTTTTTGACCAGCGAATGGGAACGTTAAATAATAATAAAAGGCTTCTTCGCGCAGATCCTTATTGTCGCTCTGTTATGAAAGAATTTTGCTAATGCTTTTAGCTGTGCGTATATCAAGTTATGGATGCACTTGGGAAGTTTGGAGAGCACTAAAAAAGCTAGAGTTGCTCTCGGCTGCGCCTCGAGCTACTCTTACGCATTTCTCGTTCTCTCAAAACTCCCGCGTGCATCCATAACTCGATATACGCACGCTAAGCATGAAAACATTCTTAATTTTAACTCCAAATGTGATGCTATGGTCATCAGACTAAATATATACGAATAAATATGGGCATAAAAATCGACTTGAGGAACGATATAGGGGAAAATCTGATTTAGTGAGAGTCCTGCATGATCTTCATTAAGAAAATACGTAAATTATTGCTTCAGAATACAATACAAATCTTTAGATGGTTTGAAATTATAACTCTAGAGTGTGGATCTCCCTAACTAAATTTACTTTTCAGTGGAATATTTAAAAGATATGACATACTAGGGAAACTGTCATTGTCACCTTTGTATCAACAGCATGCCGATATACGGGACGCCTTTGTATTACTTCCAGTGTTCATCTCTCCCACAGCAAAGACGCAAACCTTAAACTCGCTCCTTAGTCGTTTTTTATTGTAGGAAAAATCATATGACGCACGTTGAATACACTAGAAAGCAGGAAGCAACCATAAACATCGTCAGGTGATATCCCCGTTTGTAGAACTTACTATGTAGTCTTCTAACGATTTTGAATTTGGAAACATTAATTATTTTTAAAAGCAAACTGTTCGGATTGCAAAATACACTGCGCACTTTGCAAGAATGAAATTGCATATTAAATGCAATGTTAAATCATGCAGATGGTTTGGGACTAACAACTTCGATAACTCCAATGTGGCGTCGGTCGGAGAAGCTGTTATTGCGCGTGCCCATATTGCAGTACTTCCCAGGCTTCTTTATGCGGAAGCACTGCGGATTGCAGGAGGCTGAGGCCTTGTTTAATCGAGCGTTCAGGATTTTTACGTTACCGCTGCGACATCCAGTGTTGGGGTGAAGATTCAATTTATCTAGATCATCAAAGTCGTCAACATAGTCAACCAGTTCGAGAGGCTAGCTGAAACATGCTGCTGGTTTGAGATAGCTGCATCCTTTTTTTCACGAGTTTTTGCCACCGTAATCACCAAGAATTGCTAATGGCGCCCTGCTAATCAGGTTTCCCGTTATCTTTGTGGTTTTCGCTAAAAGTCTGTTCAGGTTGACTGCTTAAGACATAATATGTCCTACCGATATTCCAAAAAATTGTATGGTACCATAGTTTAACAAGGGAAAATCTTGCTATAAGGCACTTAGCAAAAAGTAGAGTTGGTTCGTGGTTGGTCAGGACGAGTCTTCCCGGAGATGTTCTCATATTTCAGTTATTTTCCTTTTTCTGCAAGATGTAACGATAATCATATCGCCAAGTAATAAGTCTTATAACTTGGAAATCACACCCTGTTCTCCTCATATCTTTTTTCACTTGTGCTGAGTGCCCACAGTGCATTAAGTATTAAGAAAACAAACACTTTATTATCGGCAGGTGTGTCTTACCCGAGAATCAAACAACTTAGTTGCGTTACTAGAGTTTGTAGGAATACGTCAGACATGCAAGGCTTCAGAAGTACAGCCACGAAATATCCCCAAATCATACTGTATTTAATGGTCTGTTTAACACATACAAAATCGATCTGGGAGGTTTTGCAATTGTCTTGTAGAAGATGGCAAATTCTACACTAACCTTTTGATGAAACTTCCGTAAAGTAGAGAAATTAATTTTTAGTGAGAAGGCAGTCTAGCTGTAAAGCATGAAAGCCAATATTGGTACAAATCTGGGAAACACCCTTCAACTCCCAGGAATAAATGACTAATATGTAACTTCTCCTTTCAATATCATTACATTATCCAACAAACAGGTTATGAGACTAAAAAACTCGTCAGCTTAACAAAGCTTAAGATCTTTATCTTGATATGACACAAAATTCTCTCCAATGCAAGGTTTCTGTTGATTTTAGAGCTCGTAGAGAGAATAACGAAAGTAACAAAACCAGAATGCCATTGTACAAACACTACTGATTCAATACACCAAACTTTTCAAATCTTCACGTGGAAGGGTGAATGAACCGAGGATTGTACTACACGCACTCAGCCCGGCTTTGATTTCGATGCGATGCAACACTTAAACTCAATTTAGAGCTTTAAAAGAAAATTCAGTGTATCTCTCTTTGTGTACAGTTTGATGATTGGGTGCCCTAAAGAGAACAGAAAATCATCCAACATGGCTTTTGAATTTTGGAATAAAGACACCTGGATTAAAATTTAACCTTGGGTTAGCGCCAATCGGCCTTCGAACAACTGGGCCCAGTTCCAGATTTAAATCAGAGAGCCCTGTCAATGTAATTATTTACATATATCCTAAAAATGTGGATTTCGAGCTCAAACCCAATAATGTGACACGCTAATTCGATTGATCAATAGAGAATAACACATGGGCGTGCGTAGATATGGAATTTCTCTTCGAGTGTTTAACTCGATAGCTCACGAGTAAGCGCAGCGAGCGAGTGAGATGTCGAGTTGAACACGAGAAGAGAAATTTCGTATCTACAAGCAACCATGTATTATTTTGCTTATCATATAAACATAATAGCCCTTTACTGACGAGAAAAGCCGACTTCATCGATGAATAAAAACAAATGAATCGACAATCCCCAAATAACAATCGTAAAGTGCGTTGGCGCTAACTCTTAACATGAAAAAATGCGTTGAATCATGATTACAAAAAAACAATGGTCGTAATTTGCAATTTACAAAATTCTTATTTATTGACTTTTTCCTTACCGACGGAAGAAGTCTTTCAGGTAAACGGCCAAAATCGGCCTGTGGCAAATCTTTCAGTTGTCATTGTTACAAAGTAAC